CACTGCACTTACTTGCTTCCCAAATTTCCCTATCACTGGCCTAGTAAACTTTGCCTGTTATAAGGAGAAAATAAATGTAACTAGTTAAATTCCTTTACTAAGAAAGTACAATATAGATTCAGTGAAACCTAGTATGCATATTGCTGTAATCTCATAGCTTTGTATTGACCCCACAGACAATCTCGAACGGGTATTATTTACCAATTGTTGCTGTAGCAACGAAAAAGCTGGAATGCGGAGGTCAAGAAGCAAGAGTATAAAGTAAAAATTTTCAAAAGTCAGGCTGCGTTACATCTTGCAGAATATTTTTTAAAACACAGTAAAAGTTTCTGCAGTCTCATAAACAGAGACCAATAAAAAGCAGTGACCTTCTACATTAAAGATTTGTTCAAGATGAAAGATAAACTACACCCAGCCCTAAAAACAACAAATACCATGCTTCTATTTTCAGTAAGGATGACGATGAACTCAGGGCAGCGATGGAGAAGGGCGGTATGGAAAGGCAAAAGCCTGCATCCGAACTAGATAACAAAATTCAAGGAATTTAATATAATCAAGTCTCAGAATGAAATTATCTATTTCTCGAAGTAATGAAAAAATCAGGATATACCATTACAGGTATACAGGTAGCAAGCATTCTTTAAAAATCTGTCAGGTTGGGGAGTTATCATCTGTAACTGGTGAAAGGAATCGTATTGCTTTCAAATTGCAGTTTCAGAAAGATTAGGGTATTGATTTAGGCAGTTAATAACTAATTAGCCTAATCTCAGTTGTGCTGAAGGATGGAAAAGCCTTGAAGGAAAGAGAAAAAACTCTTAAAATTAAAAACTCTTAAAATTAAGTAATAAATGAAAAAAAATATATATGAAAAGTTGGATAAAAGTTAACACGAGCTTCTGAAACATAGATTGTACCAGATTAACCTCTTGTTTTTCTTTCAAAAGATTGCTGGGGTTTTGCCATAGAAGTACAATAGCTCTAATCTACTTTGACTTCTGTAAACCAGTGTATTTAAAACCATGTAGGAAGTAAAATAGTTGAGTAGGGGATAACATTATTGTAAGAACTGTAAAGTTCGTGGAAAGGAGGCCCATCTGAAGATAATAAGAAGTTGCTGTAGGACCAGTCTTGGTCCTAGTTCAGTTGATGTTTTTATGAATGACGTTGCCACAAAATGTACGAAATAAAATTTTCTGATGACACAACAGCTGAAGCACTTTGTGTCAGCCAAAGAGGCTGGCTTGTCCATGTCACAGTATAACCCTGTGGAGAATATAATGTAAATCACAACAGTAAAGTGAGTTGGCCGTTGCAGAGATTGGCAAGCTTGGTAGCGCCTTACAGCTCTATATCACATTCCAGAAAGGCTAACAGGAACTTGTGTTTTGAGATGGGAACTCATAATCAGAAAAAAAGAAAAAAAGAAAGAAAGACAGGAAAAAAAACCCTAACCTAGCTCCAGGATATATTAGTGAGATAACTCCAGTAGAAGAAATAAAGTACTGATACTACCAGAAAAGTCACAAGTGAAATTTTGTCTGGAATATCCAGTACATTCTGATCATTACATTCAAGGAAGACACAAGCCAGGTGGAGACAATGGAGAGAATAGTGGCTGGGATTATCGAATGAACTCAGTGCATTAAGCAAAAGGAAGCTTGCTTTAGAAACTAATTCAGGTACAAAATACCAAAGTGGGAACAGAGGTGTTTTAGATAAAATGTTTATACAAGTAGAAATGGAAATCAGTTCACCATGACTAAATTTAAAGTGGAAATCAGTACAAGGTTAACCTTCGTATCTAAAAGGTGAAGTCCTGGAAAAAAGCTTCAAATAGGAGTTTTGGTGACAAACTGTCTCATTCAGTTAGGTATTCTACAACAACAGAAAACCCAACTCAGTGACTAACAGTCCTAAATCCTATGTTCTTAATTAAAAATGTCCTGTAGATTCTGTTTACGTTATATATATTGTATTTCTCATATGCTTTTCAGTTTGAAGGGATTTCCTAGAAACAGTTCAATAAACAGGATATGTTTAATGACAGTTGTTTCTGACTTTCATCAGCAGATATGCTTACTGAAGTACCAGGTTTTTAAATTTGTTAGACTGATGCTATGAATTTTGAATCAGGTATCAAAATTAGGATTTTTTAGGCATAAAAAAACATTTTACAGGAGAAACAGGAAGGAGTAAGATTCATAGGTGCCCAGATGACGTTGTACATCTGACCCTGTAACGTTCTTTTCAAAAATTTGCATCAGGTTTTTCACATGTTTCTCAGAAGATTTATAGAGAACGATTATCCATCTGGCACTCATCTGGCTCAGAAACACCACGTTTGCTGGCCCAAACACAGAACGCTCGTAATACTCCGCAGTCAAAGGGCCTGTACTAATTTACAGCTGTTCCCATATGGAAACCACCACTGACATATACGCTCCACATTCAAAGCACCTCTTTTGATATATTAACTGCTCACATGCTGTCTTGTCTTCCCTTTAGCAAGTTTATTTCCAGACGGTACTGGAACCCACTGGAAGCTTTTTCTTCTTCTTTCTCACTATTGCGAGCATACAGGCACCCTACTGACCATGTAAGGACTCACAGCAAGGTTTGAACCTGTTACTTTCCCCATCGGTAGCAAGCACCTCCCAAAGCAGCTCCACCAACACACAGAACGAGCTACCATTTGCAAAGTGTTTACCTTATCCTTAGTGCTCAAAAGATCAACTACTACTGAAATGTTGCAATGCTAGGGCATGGAAAATTGCACTTTCCTTAGCATAATTCATTTTAATGAGGTACAGAACTTCTCTGGATGTGAAATTGCTTTCATGCAAAATGAAAGGGAAGGGCTGTGTGCAGCAGAATAATCAAGACAGGAAGCTGAAGGAAAACAGGCTTCTA